TTTCTTAATTTCCAAACTTTAATTTTTCACAAAGTTTCATATGATTCTGACCACTGTTTCTATTAACTTCACATTGTTTCCAAGACAAAGCTTTCCCTAGTTATCCATATTCAGGAATGGGGACTGAAGGTCCCCAGTCCTAAATATATTAGTTCTTAAAGAGCAAATCAGTAGTTTCACCATATGAAAATGTGACTTATGATAAACAGTAAATGGAATACATAAACTGGGAAAAAATCAAGGATATTCAATCTGTTTACAACAAACAAACAAAATAAACTTCAATCAACAAGCCCATTATAAGCATGGAGGTTTCATTTTCTTATGATTAGAGGTATACTGAAATTCAACTATCTGAGACTGTTCTTGTATCTTGAAGTCATGTGAACAATTAGTACATTGGTGTTGGTATATAAATTGGTCTGATGCCCAGGAGGTTAACACCAAGCTCTATCCTGCCACAATGTATGTGGAGGCTCTTTGTTGACCTAAACATCAGTCTTGTGAGGTATACAGGCAACTGCAATCACTGTGCAAATTGTACATTATGTGGGTTACTGAAATAAGAAATTAACTCTTCTTAGTCTTTTTTTTTAACTTTTATACAGAAGTCAAGTGTTATATACAATCTGTCTCACCCCATCCACTCAAACCCTGATTTCATCCCAGTTCCAGAGGGAGAGGGCGAGACTGCTAACTCAGAAACCAATGTTTCGCATTAAAAAAGGAACACCAGATTCATATGTTTGCTTACATAAGGAACTTTGAATCCTATCACTGAAAGTCGTATCATTGACAAATCTAATCGCAATCATAAAATAATCCTGTCAAATAAAAGTTCTAAATATAGGTATTTCTAACCAAGTGATAACTCTACACCTGGAAATTTACTTACTACTGAAATGTATGGTTACTGGAAAGATTAAAGTTTTAGACAGCCTTTGCTTTCTGAGACAAGATATTTCTACCTTCAGCATTATTACGTAATAACCCACTCCTCATTCAACAAGAATATAGGGCCCTGTGAGAAACATTTTTCTTTCGGGGGAGTGTGACAAATTTAATTAAATGAACTAGTTATGTTGAACATTTTAGAATAAGACATTGAATGTGCTTTTGATAATACCTGCTTTCACACCGAAAACATGGAAATTACAGTAGTCATTATGCATTCACCACCAGAACAAACAGTAACAAATGTTCAGCTTGTAAAATATGTTCTTTTTTAATAAGTATACTTAGGCCTGTCTGAGTCCATGCACACGAAAAATGCCATATATCTTGACCTATGAGTGATATGTGATAGTTTAGGCATCAATTACCATGTGGACTACATATCAAGCTGTACACCTTAAAAAGAAAGATTGCCACTTATCTTCCCTGAACAGGAGTCAAGAGACTGGCTCTTCCCACAAGACCCATGCCTGAAGTTTTATACTATTATTTACAGATATCAGTTCATGTGTGTCCAAGGAATGGTTTATACCCACACACAAGTGAATTGTAATAACAATTAATAATGCAACAATATAAAATTTATGTAAAAGAAACAAACCAACAGTAATCAGTAATATAGATGGTAATAAAAATGAATGAAAAAATGAAACTATCAAACATAGTGCAACCTTGATAAAGTTAATATGAACAGGCAGCTGGTGTAGGGATCTGGAGGAAGGCTGCATGGAGTTAAGTGACATGAGGTGGATAGACAACTGACTGTACCGCACATTGAGAAAACCATTTGTATAGTCAAGCAGCCTGCATGACTGTGGCAATGGGAAACTTTTCAGTACCCTAGTTATTCTTTATGGTGATGCTATACACTAACAACAAATCCAACCTCAATGAAATAATAACCAATAGAAAGAGCACTGTCTGAGCTATTTTTCAATTCATAAGCTTAGTGAGTCCATACCATGGAGTTAAATCTTGTTTAAATTTTTTTTTTTTTAAATAAAAAAATACAACAAACACTCGTAAATAGTTTCTTATTTGACAATATCTTAACCCAATGGCACAGGGTGTACAAAACAAAAAAAAAAAAAAACTCTACGCTCTAGCAAACAAAGGCGGCGCGCCAACTTTGAGTGCGTAAGTAGGGGACATCAGCCCAAATCACTGGCTCGCCGCACTTTGGTGCGCCGCCGCGGCGTAAAGCCGCACGCCAGCTTTCGAGCAGTTTGTTTTCACGCCGATCGGCGTCACCCGGTGTTAAGGGGTTAAGTGCATTATTAATAACATACACAGTATCACAAACACATACAGCCTTCTATAGCAGTCTCTTTTTATCATGGCACTAACTCAATGTCTTCGGATGACCAATCACGACAATACTGGCATCGATGGATTACTCGAACTCTTTACTACCCATATAAGTAGGCCATTAGCCACAGATACCCCAAACCCCACACATTTTTGGCCCCGGGTTTCTTAAGGTCATGCTTTCTATTGAAGGTAGGACAGATTATGTTTAGATTCTTGGGTTCCTGGTTTAGGGACTTTGTCTCTGGAGGGTACATCGCTTTTGTTAAGAAATACTCATAATATTTGCCTTGGACTATATGGCTATTCAGATCTAAAATAAAATCTCACTTTACACCATACAAATCACTTTACACATCTCAATGACTACCACAAAAAATTACCACAGAATATACGTGACCCTACGCCACTGAGGATCCCAAAGCAGGTTTTTCACTTCAAATATTGACTGTGATCTTTCCAAATCCTACTGAAGCTTAATAACATCCACGATAAAAAGTCTGTAAACGGAAACAGTTAAGTTTCAACCAGCCACCTACGATAAGGAAAATAATATATACAAATAATAGAGCAAATAAATCTAAGAAACTTATCTTCTATGTACTTCTGTCACACACAAAAAAAAAATTAACGTAGTTCCTCGACAGGTAAAGAAGCACGTTCGACTGAAGCAAAGGCTGGTGCTGCATACATGGTTATATTAATATGTTAAGCGTTATTACAACAGCAACGGAGAAACTACTTCTGAATATTTTTTTCCCTCTCCCTTCTTTCATTTTCTTGTCGTTCTCCTGTGTTTTCCCTCTCTTTTTTTTTTTGCAATGTCTTCCACTCTCTCTCATCATGCAATCTCTGCCACACAACTCTGCCATCATTCTCTTTCATTCATTTTTGTGATTCTCTCTCGCCTTTTCTTTCTCTATTATTACTCATTCTTTCTCTCTCTCTCTCCCATCATCTCTTCCCTCCTCTCTCTCTCCCTGTACCATTCCCCCTCACTTTCCCTCTCTCCCCCTCTCCCCCTCTCCCTCCCTCTCTCTCTCTCTCCCTCTCTCCCTTCCCCACGACAACCACGTGTTTCCCGCCCCCGCCCTTGCGCTCCCCCTCGCCGCCCGCCGCCCCCCGGCCTCCCCGTGGGCGCCGACGAGGGCGCGGGCGGCCTAACCCCGAGCGCGTTGGGCGTCGCGGCGTGACACAAAGGCACGCCATGGACTCACTTCCTGCGACACTCGCCAGCCTTGCATGGAGCTGGCGCCGTAGCTCAAGCTCTCGCCGCACTCGTCGCTGCTGATCTTCTCCGTCACCGGCTCTGAGAGATATGCACCCATTGTCTTAAGATGTCGGCTCAGCTCGTCGCGGAAAGCATTGGGTGGAAGGAGAGGCGCGCGCGAGGACGACCCGGCAGCCGACGTCCACTTCGTCTGTCTCTCCGCCTCGGGGAAGGATGAATGGCGCACCCCGATTCGCCGTCCTTGCGCTCCGCAGGAGAATTTCTAAAGGTTGTTTTAATTTGTTCTTAAATATATATGATTAGAAAATTATGTTGTTTACTTTTCTTTAAATTTTGTTTGCTTTTGTCTTATATTTTGGAAATTGCCAGAATGGATTTGCACCCGGGTAGCGAAATCGGAGTGTGCTAAAATGCGCTCCAACCTGCAGCGCCGCATGATTTAAATCGGTCACTGATCCTTTGCAAAGTAAATAAGAATAGATAAAAGTTGATTACCTAATTCCTCACATTTCATACAGTTTCCGTTCATCACTATGCGATTATTCCAAAGAGTTATTAATTAAATCATGACAAATTATCAAGAATGCACATCTCCCTTTTCATAAGGAAAAGCATGGTGCTCTACAAAGACAATATGAGCCTTATGGAGATAAATAATTCTCACTACATTCATTCATATAGATTACAACTATTATAACATACTTTCTAATTAGAAATTGGCATGATAGTGACAAAGACCACTAATTTCGAAGAAACGTGATCCCCACATTCATAGAATATGGAAGGTGGATTATCACAGACTTATTTAAATCCGTATTTTTCATATAAAGATTCATATTCATTATATGATACTTCAATTGTGAATCAATAGTTCACATATTCAGTAGCTCCTTTTCTGAATCCTGCAGAGAAACTTCAAAATTAAAGAGCCTCTGTCTAGCGATGGAGAAATTAATTTTGAAAGTATATATATATATATATATATATATATATATATATATATATATATATATATATATATATGAAATACATTTAGGAGCAAATGTCTCACATACTTTCTTTGCTACTATGAAGCAGTTTCTGTGGGATATTTCATATTCATTTACTTTACATTACATAATTCATTAGATCTCCTTTATGTTATAAATGATAAAAGGATATTAAGCTCAACAATTTTTATTATAACACGTGGTTTCTCATTTTTAAATTCGTTGCATGCACTAAATAAATGTCTGAAGAAGTAGTGTCAGTTGTATCTGCATAACCATACTACATCTTCTAATAAACTATTGTCATTTGGAATTCCTTTCTAATGAGTTATGAGAATTGCAATGACCAACAAAAAGGACGAAGAAAATAAGTGGTTTTGTCAATATTCCAGGTCGAAACTCCAGTCATACATACCCTTATCCCTTAAAAAGTAAATAATAATCATAAAATCAAGAATATTTTTAAAAATCTCTAGTTCTCCCCACCACACCCATTTCCCCCCCTATCTCCTTTCTTTTTCGACGCTCCTTGTATCGTATTTCTTTCCCTCTTTTCCCTGCCCTCGTTGCACGATATAAATGCATTGTGCACGAGGCCGCCATTGGGCAAGAGCCGGGTAGGGATGCGCGTGGGACCACATTTTCCTTTTACACTTTCCTCTCTTGAGATGCTCTCTGTTTCCAGTTTGATTTTGGCGCGAACCAAATGTCGGTAGATTGATTTTGAAAGACGAAAAAGGGATGAGAATAAAGAGAAATGTCTGGTTCTCTGTAATATATTTGTATGGTCGTGTGACTGTAAAGAAACGGGTTTATGCTAATGATAATCAAGCTTGTAATAATGCAAAGATGTGCTTTGCAGCCTTGGGTATAGTTGTATCAATCGTCTTAATTTACATTTTATTATAGGAATGCAATGTGACTTTTACCATGTGGCCGATCCTCTTAACATTTAGTAAGAATTCCCTTTCCAGTTAGCGACAGCATGTATTAGACTTATTGTATAAAATATTCTACAAAAAGATATGTGAATTGATGGAATGGAGGAATATCATTGATAATAAACATGAATTGGATAGCATATTCGTCATATCAGTGTCAGAAAGAATTAAAATGAGCAAAGAGATTCATTGAAATTCAACGTAATATGAAAACTGTTTAACTAAGCGTATATGCTGAATACGAATGTCAAAACTAAATACAGGAAAATCGATAAGGGGAAAATTGGAAAAACACTAAATGAAGAATTTGTATAATAATAATAATTCCACACTGGATAGAAGAAATTTCAAGAAATACAGATTAAAGGCATTTCTCATATGTAATTTGATTAATGGGCTGATAAAGATTCTTCAGTAAAAGCCTTTCAACACAGACGATATTCAAAAGCCATGTGGAGATTCTTGATTAATTTACTGATAAGTTTTTTTTTTTTTTTTTTTTGTATTTTTGGCGGGAGTGTCATCGCGCGAAATAGAACCCGCGAAATTATGCTCATTTCGTAGATGCATCTATATTATTATAACATCTAAGGCTTGTAGTGAAGACAGGTTAAAACTTCTAACTGTCTTACAATCGTGCCCTTGTCGGAATTTCGAAATAAAGTAGAATACAAATAACACTTGTTTTAAATAGATGTCAAATAGAAGGGTTGGTACGCGTGAATCTCCTAAGATACCATATATTTCCCGAATATTTATTACTCATGAATAATCCACCGGAGGCCTTCCTTTGACAAAATTCCCAACAGTTGCAATTAGAGTCTTTTGTTTGCAGGAAAAAGCACCCCTTATTTATACGAAGAAAAGAGCGTATAGGACTCGGAGGGGAAAAAAAGAGATGTTCCTCGACGCCATTTTCCTCTGCCTTCCTCGCACCTCTTTGTATCGACCGGATAATCATGTAAGTATTCCCCCCTTTTTGGATTTTAATTCCCACGCCCTAACCTATTTTTTCCCCACCCCTTCGAATATCCCCGACGACCGCCTAACTTCCCCGTGAATTAGACTGGGAAATAAAATGGCCTCCCGAAATTCCCCCACGTGCTAAAATGTCCGACGGCGTCAAAAGCCGGAGAAAGGGAGTGAGAGAGAAAAAAAACGGGGAAAATCTTCGTCTATCTCTCCATTTCTTATTCATTTGCTATTCATTATTGACTCTTAATTTCGAAAGACGCCCATATCACCTTTATTTTCTATAGTTCTTTTCCTTCTTCTTTAATTATTTCTATTTCTTAATTCTGTGGGGGATCTAACCATTAAAACGAAGGAGGAGGAGGGGAGGACGAAAGGATAAAATATAATCATTTTTAGGACAAGAAAGAGAGAAACGGTAAGTATATAAATGTAAGGCGAAGAGAGATAGAGGTAGAAAGATCCCAATGCACTGTAATTTACAAATGTATCGTCTGTAATTTGACTGTAATTTGCGAAAGTGACGTTTTGTGGTTTAATGGAGAGCCAAACGACGCCAGCTTCTGACGCCCCGAAGGGTTTCAGACGCATAAGTAACTTCCACTTTCCTTGCTTTACACGAAACGGGCGAAATTTGGCCCTTTTTGTGCATGATCTCTGTTCTAGAGTGGCCAATAAAGTATACTTGGTCGATTATAAGAAGTTATTAAATGTCAAGAGAGAGGAGGAGGGAGGAACAGTTAATTGACGTTCGAAAAAGAACATCTCTCTTAATTTAGACGTTTATTTTCCTCCTTTTTCCTATATTTTCATGATTTTGTGTGAGTGAGAGTCAGTGTTGCATGACATTGCATGGGGGAGAACAGAGTACTCACTCACTTTGATTGAATAATGATCAGGAGTTGTAGAACATGATTTTTTTTATTATTATTGATAGGGCAATAAAAAAAAAGTCATGAATAATAAAATAATTCTAGTTTCTTTTCTCAATTTCAGATATACTATATGTATCATTGTCATTATTATTTTGTATTTCAGTTTTTGTTCTATGACTGGAAATACTTCAAAGAAAAGATATTGACTATATTTATTGTTTACAGAGTTTTTTTTGTTTTGTTTTTTTTTGTTAGAGATCAAGATGGTGAGATGTTAGTTGAAATAGAATAGTTTTTACATTTTTTTTATATTACTGATTAAAATTATTCACTCTTTACTTACTTTTTCCATGTAGGTGATTATATCGATACATTTTTTTTTTTCTGAATTTACATTTGAGACATAGTTCAATTTCATTTTCAGTATTTTAATCTTACCTATTGAGATTTTTTAAATTTTGTATTATATCTATTTTTATAAGATTCATTTTGCCAGTTCTCATTCTTCCTAAAGTTTTATATTAATTGTTTTTATATGCTTATGTAATTATATGAATTAGTTGTTTTCAGTTATAGAATCATATACGTTCAGATTATAGTTTTCTAACTTTGTATTATAAATTAGAAAAGATTTAGATATGGAAGTGTAAAATGTCAGCCCTTGAAAGTCTAATCAGGGATGGGAACGGAAGTTTTACACTTGGTTATTCCAGTGCTTTAAATCCTTCCCTTTTCCTTTTTTTTACAGCATGAAATATTTCAATTTTCTTTTTTTTAATAACTGGATTACAGTTTATTGATGCAAGTACCATAAAAAATAATATAATTATCCTCAACAGGAATAGATGAGCAGAATCCTCAGCCGCCAAAATGGATTTTGAGGAACAGAGAAGGATGTTCGCCATGAACATGGGCGGACATCCCATGGCAAACCATCATGCAACTCAGCAGGCAGTGGCCCAGCAGGCAGCAGCTCAGCAGGTGGCACAACAGGTGGCTCAGCAGGGTCCCCACACCAGGATCCTTATGCCTGAGCCCTCGCTGCCGATGGTTGCAGGGTCGCGTCAGGGTCCAATGGATGCTACCATGGCCACCATAACGACGCAAATGGCAAATGCACAGCAGATCACTATGCATCATACTGTGCATCAGCAACAACTGGCACATCACCAGCAACAGGCTGCACAAGTTGCACAGCAGCAACAGCAACAACAACAGCAGCAGCAACAGCAGCAGCAGCAGCAGCAGCACATGGAAGTGGCAGTGAGCATGGACGCAGGTGGCGAGGCAGGCCCTTCGATGGTGCGGGTGATGGAGGAGGGGCCGGTAGAGGTGAAGGCCCCAGACGCCCATGACCCCAGCATGGTGGAGGGGCCGAGTGAGGGCGTGGACAGTGTGGGGGCAGGGCAGAGCGGGATGGAAACGTCTCGGTGGTGCCTTGTGTGTGACAAGGGCCTCCCAGCCCAGGAGTCGTCACAGGAACTGGTAGATCTTTATAAGGCAACCATGACAGTGAGCCAGAGAAAACTGTCGGCAATGTTAGGCCGCCTGGTGGGATTGACGTTGTATAAGGCCCATAGTGATGTGTTGTGCCGAAGGTGTTTCAACCTAGTGGACCAGGTGGATGGGCTGGAAATTGAGCTGGCAGACACCAAAATGGAACTTGTTCAACAGTACGAAGCCACTATAGCACACAGGCAACCTCATGCGAAGAGAGAGATTGAGAGACCGACAGTAAGCACAATTTAGTTTCTGTTTAAAAAAAAAAGCATTTTATATATTCTTAAGAGCCAATTCATTTATTATATTATTAAATTATTATCATTATTTTTTTTTTATTGTTTAAAAGATATTTATGCATCCACCTTTGGCCAACGTGCAACAGCACTACAGCAAAGGACAGCAAACTTCTACTACACACACGTTGTAGACCTCCCAGATAATTTATTGTCAAATAAAAAATTGATTTTACTAGAATATGTATGGCAAAGGTTGTGCTTCATCATTATCCCCAAGGCACGAGGCTAGGGATAATCGCATGACACTGCATCACTGTGATTATCACTTGGTTGAACTTTCTCTTTTAAGCCTTTGTTGTAGATTACAAGAAGCTCCAAAGGAATATGAATAGAATAATGGCTACGTGATCATGAGAATAAATTTAAGATTTTAAAAATTTTACTTTTACAAGGTTTAGGTCACATGTGCGGTGTTCATAAGTAACAAATAAGTGAAGATATTCTTTTGTCTTACGGGCTGTAACTTTCTATTTCATCGTTGAAAAATAAAACTAGATGTATTTTGATATAGCTGATTATCTTGGATAGGTAGTATAGAAGAATGCTTTTTAAATTAAATTGAAACAATTTCCAGCTTGAAGTTGATGTTGAATGGGACGAGTCTAATGAGTCCGATGTGATAGACAATGACGATGATGACCCAGACTGCACGGCCTCTGGAGCAAAGAAAAAAAAGAAGACGAGAAAGACAAAGCGCAAGGGAGGACGTCCTCGGAAAGTAAAGCTCACGGCAAAGATTAAGGTAAAATTTTGTTTGTTCTTTATGTATCATTATTATTGTATTCAATTTAGAATGAATAGCTTGTGCATTTGAATGATATATTTAATGAACAATTCCTCTATTTGGATTTTTCTTTAGTGCAATTAGTATATAAAAAACGTTTAAATTCACAATACCAAAGTAAAGAAAGATATTAGATTGTATGGTTTTCACACAACAAAAAAAAAAGGAAAGATAAACTAACTACAAAAATTAAATCAGCAGTAAATAAGTAACCATGAAAAATAGATGACATGGTCTCATTATGTCACTTTCTCATCCCATGGAACATTCCCATTTTAGCATATCGACAACAACCTCAGTGGGGTGGAAGATAACGACGCAGAGGGTAGGCCGAGGAAGCGAGGACGAGGGCGGCCCAGGAAGAAGGACAAGGAAGAAGACGATTTCATACCTCCAGGAGCCCCAACCAAGGACTGTCCTACATGCAAGAAGGTGAGAAGTTGTGGCTGTTGCTAGGAGGACTAAGAGGAATTTTACATTATGTTGCGAAGGGTACATTATTAAGATTGTCATTGTTATTTATGGTATTTGATAGATCTGCTTTCCCACAAAAAATGTTAAATGTTTATGATGATAGTAATAATAATAACGATAATAAGTTAATAACAATAGCATCATTACTATTAACGAAATAGAAATAGGCCTGAAACTAGATTTCAACACATCAAGATCCATCTTGCTATTAGTCTTGTATTCTTTTGTGAGTGAATATTATTACTTATTATATTGTTTTGCTCCTCTGATTTATGTATAATGTTTTTGTCACTTCATCTTTGTGCATGGGAATGTGTGTGTATGGATATAAATAAATATCACAGATTGATGGTTTACCCTCTTATTCTTGGCAAGTTTTATTTATTGAATAAGCTATATTGTTAATAGTTACTCTCTGTGATTTTTTTTTATACAATATGCATATATGCATATATTCATATATACCTGCATATGCATAATCCACATCAGTTTTATAATCCATCTTTCAAAGCACTGAGTAATTTATTTTTCTCCCCCGATAAACAGGTTGTCCACGCAAAGAAGTACCTGATTCACTTATCAACACATCGGCTTTTCCCGTGTCCATTCTGTGAATCCGTCTACAAAAGAAAGGTAAATATGTTTCTTCAAAATTTTCCTTGTTTGCTCTTTCCTTTTTCTTTTTTCCATGAATGTGCCCTTTTCCACCCCTCTGCTTTATTGTTATCAGTGTTATAATTATTTTTGTTATTATTTTCTCTTTGTTCATATTTCTGATTTATCTTTATTCTAATTCTTGTTCCCATCTTTAGTCATATTTTTCTTTCTTGCTTTTTTTATAATCCTATATTTGTTCTTGATTTTTTAAAATTCTCACTCCTATTTGTTTCTGTGAAGATGGAGCAAGGAAATTAATTTTTCATTTTGATCTCATTTCTCTTTGTTAGTAAAGTAGATTTTTCATAAAATGTTTCTATGACTAAACATAGCAGTACTGTTTGTTACTTAAGATTTTAGATATACTGTATGTAGATATATACCAATGGGTTTTGTTTCATTTGAATTTTGTGCAGGTTATGATATCTCTTGTTATTTTTTTAGGCAGTAAGTAACTAATGAAATTTAGAGAGAGAGTGAGTGAATGAGAGAGTGAGTGAATGAGAGAGTGAGTGAATGAGTGAGTGAGTGAGTGAATGAGTGAGTGTGGGAGGGAGGGAGGGAGTGTGAGAGAGATTTTGTTGTTCCAAGGGTGATATTTGTCAGTACTGTCTTGAGGCATATCCTGTGAGAAGCATAAATGTGTCATGAGTAAGTTAAAAGATGTGGAGAAGGTATGAATAACAATCAATAATTTAACAGAGCAAAAGTATTTAATTAGCATTTTCTTGATACATAATATTGATATATTAATTAGATTTATTGTTGTGTTGGAATTGTTTGTGCTGATTCACCTTTTCTACAATTTTTCTGTAATGAAATATTCTTTTGATAAGCAAGGTAGTTTTAGCATCTGTATCAGACTTAAGTTTTGGGATATATAATTGCATTGTTTTATACATCTGTTAGTCTATATTTGCCTTGAGTGTATAGAATTAGACATTTTGCATAACTGAAGAGACTTTTCCTTGTTTTTCATTATTAGATATAAGTAATCAAAGTTATTTGAAAAGGAGTAAGCATTTAGTTAAACATTTAGTGTAACATTTCTGATTATTTTTTATATATCATTATTAGCGTTTGTATTGTCACCTTTGATAATCTGACCATCATCATTACCATTATTATCATTGTTATTGTTATCAGTGTTATGGGGATTTACAAAATCACTTATTTCTTGGGAATCATGTTGGCATAGCAAGGGTATGGTATATCAGGACTTTTTTCTGTTCATATCTCTAGTAATAACTTTTCCAGTGTTTAAATTTATGGTCTGTGATATATTTAATTTTCTAATATATATTCAATCAGCTATATCAGTATAATCAGTATATACATTTTAGAGTAAAGATTGTAGGTGCTTATTACCAAATATTGTAATATATGCAGATATACTACAGGTTTGATTTTATGTTTTTATTATAAATGTGTGAAGAATAAAAAAAAAGATCATCAGAATAAGTCTAATAAGTGTTTATAATTACTTATAGAAGATTATGGACTAAAGAAAGTTACCTTACTGATGGGCATTAGTGATAGCAACCAGAATAAAGATCAAGATTAGCCCAGTTTGAGTATGACAGTATGTACTCCTCTAGCAAGCCTGAGCTGCCAAATATATTGGATGATATCCTCCTAGTGATAAGTCCGTCGTACACGAAGAAGACGTGACAGCACTAACCTGTGGCCAAAATTTCAGGACATCAAGACGCATTTGGCTGAGGCTCATCAGGAGGAGATCCACTACCCTTGCACAGAGTGCGACGAGGTCTTTGACACGTTCATGCAGCTGCGGCAGCACTGCCTAGTGGTGCACATGGGCGTGGAGAGAGAGCAGTTTGTGTGCAAACTCTGTAGCAAGAAGTTCTCCAGCCCCACAGGTCTGAAGGTGCACATAGAGACCATCCATGAGAAGGTCCAGGTGTACGAGTGCCCGGAGTGCAAGGAGACTTTCAACCAGAAGGGCAACATGCAGAACCACTTCCGTCGAGTGCACCAGGGGGATGAGGCGCGTAAACTCTTATGTGATATATGTAATAAGGGCTTTATCTGCCCAAGCGACCTCAGGAAGCACGTAGAACGTGTGCATCTCAAGGTACGCAAGAATGAGGTAATGTGTGAGGTATGTGGGAAGCCCTTCTCAGATTCCCGGGCCATGAGGATTCACATCAATGCAGTCCACACCAAGGAGGTTCAGCACCCATGCCCTGAGTGTAAAATGGTCTTCCACAGCCTCACTAACATGGTCACACACAGACGGCGCATGCATGGGGGGCCAGAGGGCAGGAAAAATGTGTGTGAGGTTTGTGGCAAAGGCTTCTGTAGTCCAAGTGATCTGAAAACACATATCAGAGTTGTGCATGAGAATGTTAGAAAGTATGTATGTGATATCTGTGGCCAGGCATTCAAAGTGTGCTCACACTTGAAGTACCATCGAAGGAAACACACTGGTGAGACGCCGTATGAGTGCCCTCATTGTGGGAAGTGCTTCCATGGACCAAGTCATATTTCAGACCACGTTAAGAAGGTTCATAAGACAGTCTACATTGGAGCCAATCAGCGCCGCAAGTTAAACCTCCCAGAGAGTGCTCCTCCCCCACCCCCTGGCATGCTGCCCCCTCGTGAGACCAAGCCCAAGCCCAAACCCATGACACCACCCATGAACATGGTCCATCCCACATATTCACAACCCATGGCATGCACAATTCCTGCCACTGGAGTGACCACCTTCACTCCTACGCACCACACCACCAACATGCTGCCACCAGCGCAGGCCAATCCACCCATGATCCATCACCAGGGTATCATGGAGCACCACAACCCCTATGCCAATTTCCAGTTCCAAACGGTTGAACAGAATCCTGCCCAACAGTCACCGGTGCCCATGGTCGTGCGGCTCCTGCATGACTTGCAGTATCAATAAGGTCCAATGATTCCACTGAGCATTCATACTTAATGGGCGGGATGGATCCCATTTCACCTTCATTGCTTCTCGGCAGGGTTTGAGAGCTGTCTTGGCACTCTTGGATTTAAGCTATGTAAAGTTGTTTGTGTAAAAAAGTAAATTATATTTTCTCATATTGTTATTGCTATTTTTTTCTACTTGTGTTTATCATTGTGTTTTGTTTTACATTGCCTACACATGCCATGTTCACAGAAGCACCCTCATGTGGTCATTATTTCTAACTATGTTCAATATTTATGTTATAATCTTCTTGTTTCTTCTGTATCACTTTATCAACATGTGTTAGGAATTTATTGGTAATTTTTTGTGTGCAATCTTTTGTCCAAGTGCGTTGATTTTTTTTTTTTTTTTATTGACACATTATTATGTACACTGTCCTACATGCAGGTAGATTGGCATTGTAATTCCTTAACTAATTATAACAGGGTCATCATATGGTCAGCATCTGTGATTTTGTGATTCTATTATTATCTTTTTTTTCCATATTCTGAAATGGAAAAATTTAGATCTGATCATTGATCTGATTCTCTTCATAGTACAAAATAGAAGTCTGATATCATCTTCCTCAGCAGATCATGATTCAGACCTTTATATTAGAAAATGAATCAGTGCTAGAAAGTGTTGGCATTATTTCTGCTGGCAAATGCTTGCTTCATTTGTTGAAGGCCATTGTGTAAATACTATGCAAGTACATATGTATGGACCATGATCTCAATAGCTTTTTCACCAGAAGTATTTACACAAACACCTACAAATATACCTACACTCATGCTTACACTCATACTTATATTCACAAATACTTGCATCCACACTCAGATCAACATTTACATCCACACCCATATTCACATCACTATCCACACTCACATCCACACACATACATACATAGTCATACATATATATTATTTTAATGTAATGGTGAAGCTGTACTATTAATAAGAAAAAAATATTCTTTTTGAAAACTTAGGTTAACAAATTTTGTACATATTTTGTATGAAATGTAGTCTAGTGAAATATGTAAAATTTTACATAAATATATGTTTCTAGAGATGGATATATAGTGTTTCTCACCTACACAGAGAGGAGAATCAATGTTTATATTTTGGGGTTTTGTTAAGTTTTACGACAGAAAGCAAAGTTTTATTCATTTCTGTACTTATCTAGTCCAGATGAATTACTTGAGGTTTCAGCAGAGAATTTTTTCCCAATTATGATATTTATTTGCCTGAAATATGATATGAAGTTGATAAGATTTATACAGTGGTTGAGGTATAGAGGATGTAATTTTTTTTACAATTCATTTTTATTTCAAGCAAATATATTTTAAATGAACCAGCTGTTGCTAAAAGTTAAGAAAGTTTCCAGATTCTGTAATATTTGCCTGTGAAACATTTTGTCCTTATTTAGTATTTTGATCAGTGAATGAATTTCATTTTATCTGGGAAAATTTGAGCCTTTTTTTTATTCTTACTCTTCCAGTAGCTAATTCTGTGATGAGATGAGGAGTTAGAAAGTGAAAACTGTTTGTTCAGTTATAGATGGATCCAACAACAGGTTGAAGAGAAAATAAAAGAAAGACCTATTTTGATTTCTAAAAGTGGAAAACAAAATACAGGAAGATAGCACAAGAGACAGTAGACCGTAGACAGATAGTGAGGTAGTATATATATCAAACTGGAATAGGTCCTTAAGTATTAATAATTAGTTATACTTTGCTCTTATGTGTTGGAGATCATGTTTGATATTTTTGAAACATACAGGATTCTCATTCTCATTTTTTAACAAAATGGGCAAAGAGAAATACAATCTAAAGTAGCAATAATGTGTGAATATCTGTTGTAGCTGAATTGATTTTAAAGTATATTTTCATTATTCTCATATTACGAAAATGATAGCGGGAGCCATCATTATTTTTATCATGTCTCAGATATATTTCTATTGATGTAGATTATGTTAGCTCTTCAGTTCTTGCACCACTGTAGATGTATCTCCCCTTCTTTAGCTTTTTTCTTCTCTCTCTCTCTCTCTCTCTCTCTCTCTCTCTCTCTCTCTCTCTCTCTCTCTCTCTCTCTCTCTCTCTCTCTCTCTCTCTCTCTCTCTCTCTCTCCCTCCCTCCCTCCCTCCCTCCCTCCCTCTCTCCCTCTCTCCCTCTCTCCCTCTCTCCCTCTCTCCCTCTCTCCCCCTCTCTCTCTCCCCCTCTCTCTCTTCCCCTCCCTCCCTCTCCCCCCCTCTCTCTCTCTCTCTCTTTTCGCACTCTCTCTCTCTCTCTCTCTCTCTCTCTCTCTCTCTCTCTCTCTCTCTCTCTCTCTCTCTCTCTCTCTCTCTCTCTCTCTCTCTCTCCCTCCCTCTCTCCCTCTCTCCCTCTCTCCCTCTCTCCCTCTCTCCCCCTCTCTCTCTCCCCCTCTCTCTCTTCCCCTCCCTCCCTCTCCCCCCTCTCTCTCTCTCTCTCTTTTCGCACTCTCTCTCTCTCTCTCTCTCTCTCTCTCTCTCTCTCTCTCTCTCTCTCTCTCCCTCTGCCTCCCTTACTCTCACTCTCACCCTCACTGTCCTCCTTCTCCTTCTTTCTCTCCCTCTGCCTCCCTTACTCTCACTCTCACCCTCACTGTCCTCCTTCTCCTTCTCTTTCCTCTCTCCATGTTCTTCCCACGTTCATCTTCCCCTTCCTCTCTCCCTGTCCCTCTTCCTTTCCTTTTTTCTCCTCCTTTTTCTCTCCCCTCCCTCTCCATTTCCTTTCCCTCCCTGTTATCGCAAATTATTGTTTAGGACTAAGAATAATGACATATTAATGAACCTCAGATAGAGTTCAAGATCTAAATTCTTTATCAAAGCAACAAATATAACCAGTAAGGCGTCATATGCGAAATGCGAACCAGCAACTGCCTGGAGCTAAGTTTAAGGATTATGCTGTTGTCATGAGTAAGTGGCGGAGGCTAACCGACGTCGTGTTCCAGGACATCACGACGCACTTGGCCGAGGCGCACCAGGACGAGATCCACTTCCCGTGTCCCGACTGCGAGCAGGTCTTTAACACGTTCACGGACCTGCGCCACCACTGCTTCGTTGGACACATGGGCATCGCGCAGGAGGCCCACGTGTGCGCGCAGTGCTCCAAGACGTTCTCCAGCTCCTCGGCGCTCAAGGTGCACGTGGAGACCATCCACGACCGCAAGTACAGCTACAAGTGCGAGAAGTGCGACGAGACCTTCAACAAGAAGACGAACATGCAGAACCACCTGCGGAGGGTGCACCAGGCCGCGGAGTCGAAGCGCCTGCAGTGCGACCTCTGCGACAAGAAGTTCTTGTGCCCAAGTGAGCTGCGGAAGCACGTGGAGCGCGTCCACCTGAAGGTGCGCACCAGTGAGGTCCTGTGTCCTATCTGCAGGAAGCCCTTCGGCGACTCCCGCGACATGAAGGTCCACCTGAGCGCCGTGCACAACAAGGACACGCAGTACCCGTGCCCCGCCTGCTCCATGGTGTTCTATCGCCTCAACGACATGGTCAACCACAAGCGGCGCATGCACGGCGGCAAGGAAGTCCGCACGCACGTGTGCCCG